GGGGGGGGGAAAGAGGGTGCCCCATTTCTCTGCGTAGAGATCTCCAGTACAGCCTCCGCCGAGGGAGCGGCCAGCCCCTGGGCACAGGCTCCCCTGCCATGTGGGTTGTTGGTTTGCTGTTGTTGTTTTGGCCCGTTCCTCCTCTGGTACTGGCCAGCCTGGCGGGACATCTTCATCAGCAGAAGTCCCGGGGGAAGAGGAGGAGGAGGAAGGACAGTGGAGCGAGGCCAGCAGCGGCCCTCTCCAGTACAGCCTCCGCCGAGGGAGCGGCCAGCCCCTGGGCACAGGCTCCCCTGCCATGTGGGTTGTTGGTTTGCTGTTGTTGTTTTGGCCCGTTCCTCCTCTGGTACTGGCCAGCCTGGCGGGACATCTTCATCAGCAGAAGTCCCGGGGGAAGAGGAGGAGGAGGAAGGACAGTGGAGCGAGGCCAGCAGCGGCCCTGCCTGCCGAGCCAGGTGGGAGGCAACGGCAGGAGACGGAGGGCAAAGGTGGGGATGTGGAGGAGCGGCTCTCCAAAAGGGGTTGGGATGGGTTCTTTTCCTTCTCCTCAGTCTACCCCGGGGAGGGTCTCTAGCTGATTTTTTGGATCAGCTTCTCATCAGACAGGCAGTAGAGGCTGTTGATGGACAGGTCCGAGATGAAGTGCTCACAGGCTTTGCGGGTGATCTGTTTGCAACCTCGCAGGTCGATGAGGGTGACGTTGGAGATGCGGCGCAGGTAGAGCAAGGCCTGGTCCGTCAGCTTATTGCAGCCTGGGGAGGAGATGGGAAAAAGAGTGAGCTCTAACACCTTTGAGATGGGAGGTACACTTCAACACCTCCACCACGCCAGAGCTGTTGGACAACAGGCTGACCGTGAGCCAACAATGCGCCCTCACAGCCAAGAGGGCTGACACCACCCTAGAGTGCATTAAGAAGAGGTTCTCCTCCCTCTCTGCTCTACCCTGGTGATGCCACATCTGGAGAACTGTGTGCAGTTTTGACCTCCTCAGCTCAAGAAGGACAAGGAACTACTGGAGAGAGGCCAGCACAGGGCACTAAGATGATGAAGGGACTGCAGCATCTACCATATGAGGAAAGGCTGGGGCTGTTCGGCCTGGAAGAAACTGAGGGCGGGGGATCTCATCAATGCTTCTAAATACCTACTGGGGGTGTCAGTAGGATGGGACCAGGCTCTTCTCAGTCCTGTACAGTGAGATGACAAGGGACAATGCCCACAAACTGCTACACAGGAGGTTTAAGCTAAAGACAAGAAAATCTTTCTTTCCCCTGAGGCTGGCAGAGCCCTGGAACAGGCTGCCTAAGGGAGGTTGTGGACTCTCCATCCCTGGAGACATTCCAAACCCACCCGGATGTGTTCCTGTGTACTCTGCTCTAGAGGATCCTGCTTCAGGAGGGAGGGCTGGACTAGATGATCTCCTTTCAAACCCCGACCGCCCTGCCCTTCGGCGCGCGGTTCCCACGTGGGGGCTGAACAGCCGCTCTGGGACAAGCCGGGCCCCCAGGGAGAGCCACCCCCAGCACAGCACCCACCTGCCATGTTGAGTTCGGTGAGGGAGTTGCGTGTGGAGGAGCCCACGGCCGTGAGGAGGTTGGCTGACTGGTCCGTGAGGTGGTTGCAGTGGCTGAGGTCGAGGCGGGAGAGCAGGGGCATGTGGCGGATGATGAGGCGCAGGGTGGCGTCCGTGATGTCCAGGCCGGCGAGCCGGAAATCGATCATGTTGCGGAGTTTGCTGCGATTGTCCTGACCTGAAAAAGGGAGAGAGGGGATTAAGCTGGACCACCTACCCCCTGTCCCACCCTGGGGTATTGCAGGATCTGGCAATCTGCTCCGCGCCCCGTGTGTCACCTTCCTCCAGCTCCCCAGGCTGGATGAAAACTTACTGGGTTTGTCTGTCGGGGGTGTGAGTAAATCCCGGATCTGAGGGTCCTTGATTCCTACTGCCCACCGAAGATCGAGGGTCCTGAGAAGGGGGCAGCTGGAGGTACTGAGAGCACAGACTGCAGACCAGGAACAGCCCGCTAAGATGAGGTCTTTCAGGCCTGCAGGGAAACAGGTAACAAGTCAGATGGGCTTGGTTGGCTCTGAGGCATCCCAGATCCCCAACCCTCCTTCTCTAGGCTCATGAAGAAGCAGCTCTTCTCCCTGCCCAGGGTGGGATGGGCTCTCTGAAGGAGGAAAGGTCAACCACAGCACTACTGGCTACTTGCTGGGTGACAGGATCCAGACACCCAGGAGCTTTCAGCCTGGTGGGTTCCAGGACACAGAGCTTGCTCCTCTCAGTGTGGTCCAGCCATCACGAAGCTTAAAGAGCAGGCTGGTGGCAGAGGTAGGGACCCCTCCACAGCCCACACTCACCTGGCAGCCTGTTGACAAGCCACGTGAGCTGTTTTTTGGAGATATTGGTCCAGCTGAGGTCAAGGCTAACTGGTTGTCTTTTGATGATGCCGCTCAGCGCCTGCGGGGTGATGGACTTGCACCTGCTCAAATCTATCTTTGTCCACAATCTCTTGTCACAGCACCTGGGGACAAGGACAAGGCTGAAAACTGAGCTCCAAGGGACAAGAGACAGCTGGATTTTGGGGGAGGAGCCCAGCCCTGGTGTGGTCCCAAGTTGCAGCACAAAGTTGCTTTGCCTGGTTTCTCCAAGTTTCCTTGGACATGTAGGGACGTCCATCCAGCCAGGGATGCCCAGAACAGCCCCAGTGAGTCACAGCTGTCTGCTTGCTCACCCCCTCCTGGGAGTTCCTCCCACCAGAGCAAAGATCTTGAGCATCCTCACTCCCAGCAGGCAAAACACTCAGCCTGGTCCCACCCCATGGGAGACCCAGGACCTGATGGCAGCTCAGCTGTGGCCCTGAAGGTGCCACACAGGTGGCAGGTGAGGAGAAGCTCTCCTCCAGCCATCACGCCACACCATTCCCACCAGCTGTTGATCAAAGCTGGCTGTTTTTTTTTTTTCCTATCATGCCATTCCAGCTGCTCAGTGGTTAGAAACCTCCCAGTTTCCAGTCCCTGGCTGTTCCCAAGCCCTCCATCCCCAGCTGTCCCCGTGCCAGCATTGTCTTCAGGCCTGCGGCCCCCTGAGGCATTTCCAGCCAGAGAACCCGTCCCTGCCCTCCCCAGCCTGCCAGGAGGCCCAGGCAGGACCAGGATGGGAGGCAGGGAGGGAAGGGCAAGGACCAGGCAGGATGGCAGGGGAGGAAAGGGCATCAGCACCTCACCAGGACACAGGGGCACACACAGGTGCTCCGGTGACAGGACAGCCTGCCACCACCTCCCAAGAAAGAGGGCAGAGCAAAAGGACATTAAAGAGGAATTCTGGAATGGTTTGGGCTGGAAGGGACCTTAAAGATCATCTAGATCCAGCCCTCCTGCCATGGGCAGGGACACCTCCCACCAGCCCAGGTTGCTCCAAGCCCCATCCAACCTGGCCTGGAATACTTCCAGGGATGGGGCAACCACAGCTTCCCTAGGCAACCTGGGCCAGGCTCTCACCACCCTCGCACAGCCAAGAATTTCCTCTTTGTGTCCTACCTAAACCTCCCCTCTCTCAGTTTAAAGCCACATCCCACCACCCCATCACTCCACGCCCTACAAAAGAGCAACACACATGGCGAAGGCAGCAGCTGCCTGCAGGAAGCCTGAGAAGGTCCCTTCCCCGTTCTCCCTCCACCTGCCCACCAGGCACAAGGCTCAGAACCAGGAACAAGGCTCAGGATGTGGCCAGGTGTGTGTGTGTGTGCCCCCTCACCACCTCCCCAAAACTCACCACTTGTACCAGGTCTTGCACACCCGCATGCACTCGCAGAGCTCCCTGCGAGTGAGGTAGCGGAAGACGGACATCCAGACCTCGCGCTGCATCCAGCTCTCCTCGCCCTCCTGCACCCGGGCCCCTCGCCCGTTCAGCCGGGCCTCCCCTCCTTCCTCAGCGTTCTCCTCCTCCTCTTCATCCTCTTCCTCCTCCTCCTCCTCGGCAGCTGCCTCCTCCTCCCCCCCGCCCCGCAGGGGGATCCTGGCGGGCGGGTGCCGCATGAGCAGGCGCGGGGAGTGCTGCAGGTTGGCGGAGGAGGCGGTGATGGCTTGCAGCTTGGGGACGATAGAAGTGCCGTGGACGTCTTTGGTGGGGCGTTGGAGGGTCACGGTGAGGTAGGAGCCATGCAGCTTGGCCTTCTCCACCTCCGACAGCTCCTTCTTGCCACTGGGGTTGTTCTCCTTCTCCCTCACCATGGTCCTCTCGGTGGCCTGGAGCCGCAGCAGCTGCCGCCGCCTGTAGCGGTCGTCTCCT